TAAGATCTAAGCATGGGCTGAATATTGATTCCAGTGGGTTCTTGTTCTGACTCAATATTACTTCATTTATTTCTGGCTCCTTATACAACTTCCACTCCAACTAGTTATCTGGACTGATGGTCATTTTCTGTTCCCTTTGAACACTGATGGATGCCTATTGTACTGCAGTTGGTCCAGGTCTCCAGCACCTGAGTAATCCTGGCCCTACCATGTGAGCTGTAGGAATCAATTGTATTTCAATACAATTGAATCAATTCCTTCGTAGGAATCAATTGTATTTCTTCATCTACCTCTTAGGGGAAGTTATTCTTGTTGAAGTTTATGTATCTATTTTTTTGGTGGTGACGGTACTGCGGATTGAACCCAGGGCCTTTTCACTGAGTTACCTGCATTCCCAGCCCTTTCTGTATTTTGAGACAGAATCTTACTAAGTCACTAAGTTGTCCAAATGAGGCTCAAACTTGTGAAATTTCTGCTTCTGCTTCCCACAATACCGTGATGCTCATGGTTTAATTAAATAAAATATTACTCTGGGGGAATGTATGGCTAAAAAAAGAGATGTAGCTATGACAACTGTTCTACTTCTATAAACACAGGTAAGTCACTAAAAATTGCCACACAGGAAGGACAACTACACCTGGAAAATTCTGCACTCTGTTTGCTTCCTGAGTGTCTTCCCTTCTCCCTCCACTTCGAAGTGACAGAAACTAGAAACTATAGACAAGCAATATGACAGTGGTTCATACTGAAAGACAGTATGATCTCTCTAAGGAGCTTGCTCAACGAAATGGCTTTGCCCTATGGGTTGGCAAATGAATGAACATGTTGTTTAAAGTTAAAATATTTAAAACAACTTTCTTCTGTGTGTGTCCCTATTTTGGTCAGTTTTAAAAATTAAGTGGCCAACTCCTAGCTAGGAAGTTTCCTATGGGCACATGTAAAACTAACTGTATTTTCATCACTCTGCTTGTAATATTGTTAACTGTACAGTCTTGGCCTTGGTTTGTCCCATGAGACATGAGATCCACAGAACTAGCCTGTCTCTTAGTCATTTTTGGTGGTGGCATGGGACACAAGGCCTTGCAGCAAGTGATCAGTGTTCTTAGAATTGAACCACAATGTTTTGCATTCATTTCAATCCCTTCAAATTGTACTTCCCACTTTGATCCTGAGTCATTTTTCCTGATCACCAAAGAACTCAGGGTGTTAGGGATGAAGAAATACCTTGTGTTAACTGTGAACTCTGTTGGGATTGGCTGGTAAGAGGAGACTTTGGCAGCCCGAGAATGACTGAGGTCTGGCTCCACCAATTAAGGACTTCATACTAGAATATTCTACAAATGCTATAGGATAGTGAAGTAATTCATCACCTATATTTAAAGTTGAATTTACCGATATTTTATGGTATTAGATATTATTTCTATTAACATTTTATGCTGAAATTACAGAATGATTCGTGAGTACTGAATTTTTGATTGCTTTTACACTTGCTGGGACACTATTAAACTTGATTTACGTTAATAGCACTGTAAGAAGATATTAACAATGAAATTTCCAAAAGCACTTAGCATCTCATAATTGGAGTTAAATGAGAAAAAAAATGAGGAGATAATAAAGTAAAGAGAGAAAAGGAGAGAGAAAGTTTTGACAATACTCTTTTTAACCTGTGGTTCTTAATAAGGTTTTTGCAGAATTGTTTTAGGTGAGGGAACAATCAAATATTTGATCAAGAGAGATGATGCTGATTTATTAAAGGAGTTTTACAATATGGAATAAAGACCTGACTCCAGGTGGAGAGTACAGAATTTATTACTTTTTGGAGAGAAAATTTTCAGATTTCTAGAGTAGAGCAAAACTTCAGCTACCACCTTTTTCTTACTTCCTTGGTGACTAAAACATAATATAATTTTTTAAAGTGAAAAATTGATGTAGTCATACTTGCTGGATCACAAAGAGCTAGGTATTTGTAGCCAACACATCAAAGTTAAAACAATAACAATAAGGGCAATTATTGTAACAAATTTTTTTGAGCCCTCATTATGTGTGAGCTCGATGCTAAGGACCTGACATGCATACTTTGACTTAATCTTCACAATATCCCTATGCTTCTGTTACTGTTATTACCTCCAAGTTATTATAGGGAGGCAAAGTGAGAATCAAGTTCAGTGACTTTGGCAAGCAGTGGCATCAGGGTTTGGACCCTGGCTCTTGAATGGATCTTTAACCAAAGACGCTCTTTTGGGCACAGCAACTAAATTGTAGGTAATCTGGGTGATGTCAGAGCCACATTATGTGTGGCTTTAATGGGGCCTGTGTGCTTTTGCCTATAAGGGCCTCTCTCTTTCTGTGAAAATTATTAAGGCATATTTTAGGATCATGTTAGTATAAAGATGAATGTGAACAATATTACTCTTGTATGTTAGAAAATTTTTCTGACCCAAAGGTTTATTTTTTTAAAAAAATGTTTTGAAAGGAAATTAAAATACTTCCCTGGGCTCCTAAAAGTGTGTGGGTTCTAGGCATTGTGTCTATTATACCTACATGAGTCCATGCAATCTCATTTATGATTACAACAGACTCCTTGAAAATAACGTAAGAAGAAGAATCAGGTAGTTTTTCATCTACCCCTTTTTCTTCTTTTTTTTTTTTCCCTTTAGGATATCATAGTTTGGGTCCTTGCTTTTTCCTTACAACTCTAAGCCTTATTGGTTATAGTCTTTTTCTGGTTGCCTGCAAAGGGTTAGTTCCAGGATCCCCTCAACCACCAAAATCCAAGGATGCTCAGGCCTCCGATATACAATGGTGTAGCTGTTTGAATATAACCTATGTACATCCTTGCATATATTTAAATCATTTCTAGCTTATTTATAATGTCATTTCAGTGTAGATTCTATGTAAATAGTTGTGATATTGCACAGGAAATAATGGCAAAAACGTCCGTACATATCAGTACAGTTGCAAAATTTCTTTTTGAAATGTTTTTAATCGGAGGGTAGTTGAATCCAGGGACACGAAGCCCTTTGGTATAAAGTATTGCCTGTACTTCCAAAGCTTTAATTCGAAACAAACAAAGACCAAAAACCTTGATTCCTTAAGTGATAATACTGCCTGAAAACTAAGAATATTAGTGATGGTGAAAAGATTTGTGGCACAATTAGGATTCTGACCTGGAGTACAGTTTGGGAAATGATTTCTTAGAAATACAGATAAAACTGAGCCATGGCCTGCACTCAGTCCTCCTGGATCACAGCAAGAAGCTGGAGTTTCTATTATAAACATACGTGAGGTTCATTCATTCACATCTTTCCTCAAGCAGTGATGCTTTGCTGGACATCTTTTTTGGAGCTAAAAGAGTAGGTGTCATTCTGAGGTTCTCAATCATCAGTTTCATCCCAGACTTTTAAATATATTTTGGATAAAAATAATGAGAGGAAAACCTATTTTTATTTCTCAATTGCTTCTTGACTCATTATCTGGATACAGGAGAAACCCCAAAAAACGTATCTTCTCTGCCATCTTAGATGAATGCGTTTTATTTATGATAAAAGTAATCTCAAGTTACCTCTGATTGGAATGGATCATTTGCATGAAGGTCGCTCAGTGTTAGATATCGCAGACTGAGATTAATGTGTACATATTATCTAAAATGCCCCTCTTCTAAAGGTATGTTAAAAGAGAGTAGAAATGTATATTTCTATTAAACAAGAAAAATGCTCCAGGATTCTAGGATAAAATATTGTTTTTGTAATTTCTAACTCATTTAAAATCATGTGGCTTTACTGAGTTACTTCTTTGGCTCATTCTTTTAAGCCAGAGACGAGATGGCCAGGTATATAGCTCTTACAGACTTCATTTGGAAATTGGGTGTTGTTTAAGCTTAAAAAATGGTTGAGAATGTGAATTTGAAATTCTGTTAAGATCACAGCTAACAAAAGGCACAAAATGAAAAGAGATTGGTAACTGATCAGCAAATGATAGATGATTGAATGGATAGATACATGAGTAGATTAATGAATAGATAGAAAAACAGATAGATGGGTAATAGAGACGAATGAATTAAAAGAGACACAAATGGATAGACAAGTAGATGACAGATAATAGAAAGATATTCATAGATCAATACATGGTTAGAAAATGGATACTGAAATGCACATGGATGAATAGACAACTGGGAAGCAGAATAAATAGTTGATATATAAATGAATGTGGCTAAATGAATGGAGAGATAGTCACTAGAGATTGATGAATGTAAGGGTAAATTTAGAATGAAATTGTAGATAGATGCAAAGATATGACAGTATCATGGCTGTGCCCAACTGGAATGGAACGCCAAGAAGATAATGACATTTCTCTTCATGGAGATTTTAAAACATTTTAATTATTTGGGGGGCATATGGAGTAGAGCCATGAAATTAGTCTCTGAGAGCCTGGAAGTTCACAATAAATGATTCAGGGATATGAAAAAAAATTCATGGGTGTGCCATGATTTGGCCATTTCTGAGTTCTCCGTGAGGCTCAGTTCTAGCCTACCTGGCCTCATGGACGCCACTAGAACCATGTGTGAATGCAGAGAGGGAGCTGACAGGGACTGTCCTCGGCCTGTTTCCCGCCTCCCTGATAATACACAAGTGACACCTTGGTTGGCCTCTTCTTTAATTTTGATATTCAATTATACCTTCATGGGAGAGCTCTTCAAGAAGGCCTGCCGCTGTAATTACAGTACCCGCAGAATTTAGGGGCCAGTTTGAGCTGCTGTGATGAGCAGGGGCACCTCAGCCTGGGTGCTATAAATTTGTCTGCTAATTGGATTGCAGGAGCTAATCAGAAGCCAGAAAGGAGGGAAACCCCCTAGTGCTCCTGCTGCTGGTACTGGCTTTTAGGACAAGGTATTGGCATTGAATCTCCATGTGGAGGTCTTACACCAGACGGTTATCTCAAAGGTGACACATCCCTTCTGTCCCGGGTCAGGAGGAGATAGAGCAATTGGAGAAAAGGTAGAATGATTCCAAAGAGACATTTTATTACCAGATTGCAAAAACAGAGTGAGGAGGGAGAGAAGAAAGGACCAGAGGGCACAGTCGGGGGGATGCCGATCACCCAAAGGCCAAGAGAGCCGGAAGGTTTTCCTGCGGTGAGCACGTCCTGTACTGCTTTGGGGCACGACTTCGGGAGTCTGAGGCCTCATGGCCACAGCCAAGAGGAGTATGCAGGACAAAGCCACGGCTTATCATGCGCTGTGCCCACTCTTCTGAGGGCAAGAGAGCTAAGGGGAGGTGGCAAATTCCATTCAAAGCTTGGCTGGGTACAATTCAGGGAGTGTAACTGAACTACTGCAGGGAAGGTAAAGAAAATGACCAGGAGTAAAAGCTCTGAGCTACGGGAAAGCCATCAGCTGAGAGACCCGGCTCCATCTGTGCTCAGGTTTCCGCATCTTGGATGGCCATGGGGCTAAAGCCAGCGCGTGCTCTCTGGGGTACGTGGCTCTCGCCTCATGCACCACGGTTCATTCCCACACAATCCGTAGTGCCTCTCACCAGGCCCCTGGCCAGAGACCTCTCCCTCCTTGTCTAAGACCCTACCACTTCTCCACCAAGGAAAGTGGGTCCTTAACACTTGGTTTCCCCGACCGAGCTGAGTGCCCTGCAGCTTTCATTAAATTCTTTCTTTCTCTCCTGCATTCATTTTCTCTGTGATTATCACTTTTTTGCCCTATTTCTCCTGAAGCCCTCTACACCGGCTCCAAAGCCCTGCCTGGGAGGTAAATCTTCAGTCCCGATGAGTAGGCAGCAAGCCCCCCTTGCACACAACAAAGACTTCTATTTTTTTTTTTTTTTCCTATCTTTTGGGCGACACGATAAAAAATAACCCTGTATTTATGCAAATTGCAAAGTAGCGTGTGATAATGAAAACAAAACAGTGCTGGCCCGCAGCCAAGACATGGCGCTGACGGGGGCTCCCGACCATTTGGCTCTTGATTCTTCGGGGGAAGCAGCTGTAGAGAAATGAGAAGGCAGCACTGTGCTCACACGCGCGCGCCCTCGTCCATCCGCACGCATTCCGGTACCGTCACCTTGGAGCCAGCAAAACCTGGGGATCCAAGAGCGGTTCTGCCTCCTGGCGCCCTGAGCACTGCAGCGTCGTCCCCCACGAGCCTCCCTGGCCCCTGCTCCTGATTCCCTTTCAGGAATTTACAAACATTTTCCCCAGATCAATATCCGTATTGATTATTCATTGTGAGTGAGTCGTGTGTCTTTGGTGATCCAGCTCGCAGAGGTAGCAGCCAAAGGCTGCTGCAGGGGAAGAAAACTAACAGAAGGCGAGAGGGACCCAGCTCTGGCTGGGTCTGTGGCTGTCAGCAGCACAGAGAGGAAGAGGAACACAGCAGAACGCTTCCAGGTGAAGGCATGGTCAAGGAGGAAGAGAAAGAGGGAGCAACAGCAAGAAACAAGAAGCCAGGGCTGGCTGGGCATCTGGGTCCCGAGACCTCATCTTGATGACTCCGAGGAAACCCCCATCTTGGCTCTGTGGTTGCGTGCAAAATACAGTGGACTTGCTCTGCTCTGGGATTGCAAAGTGACTCACAGATTTGGTATCTCCTACGTAAGAGCTTTGGGGGATCCCTTGGCTGGCTGACAGGCGAGGAGGAGCGCAGCAGTAGTGAGGTAAAACACGATTCCTTCCAACTGCCTCGCGGAGGATATGCAGTCATTCGGTTTGACTTGAACAGCTTGCCGCTCTCTGATGGCACGCGGAGGGAGAATAATTAAAAAGGCCAGCATCACTTACTAAGTGAGTAAACACAAAGCCCTTCCAAACGTGCTCTCCAGCTAATGAGAAGCTGTAATTTCTTATACTTCAAGGCAAAACAAGACAGTGATGGGGGCTCAGTGGAGTGTGTGTTTGCGTGCATATGGGGGTGGGAGGTGGTGGTTGGTGGTGGAGATAAATCGACTAATTGTTGGCAATGTTTAAAAAAGGGATTACGGGAAAAGACAGTGAAATGATGACTGGAAAACATCTTGGACCAGAGCCAAAAAAAAAAAAAAATCAAGGCAAATCAAGTCTGTAGCTCAGAAAAAAACACCCATCGCTGAGGTGGGAGGCTCTGATAGGGATTGCCCGGAGTTCCTCAGATGAACATGGGATATTGTGTGGGCACAAGAGGACAGGACCCGCGGAGTATCCAGGGGAAGGAGTCACAGCATGCCAGCTTACATGTTATAGCATACATTGAGAAAAAATAAACAAATAAAACCCGAGCCCCCAAGCCAGCCAAACCAAAACAGTAAAAACCAACCTGTCCTTTCCTTTTAATTGGAGCCTTCGGCTTGCTCAAAATTGCTCAAAGCCACCCCTACCTGTGCCTTCTGATACTAGGAGCTGTGGATTCTCTGGCTGTCTCCAGGAAGCTGCCGCGATGTTACAGAAATAGGTTGGAGAAAAGGAGGTTAAGGAAATTCAGATTTCCATTGGCTGGGCTGCTGGCAAGTGTGCCAGGCAATCGTCTTTGCCATTTGGATAATATTTGTGATTCCTCTTCTGTTGTCACCCAGCCGTGGCTTGGTGAGTCCAAAACTAACCACAAAAGGACTCTTTTAGTACTGTCCCACACAAGTGGAGCCCCTAAGGAATCGAGCGAACTGGATTCTCCTTCTTTTGGGTGTTCAGTTAACTGAACTCTGTGGATCTCTTTCTCATGAGTGGAACTGGGCTGTTTTAGAATTTCTGGAACTGGAAGGTCAAATAGATAAGATATCTTTCTTCTGAATGGGTTTTTATCTTCATGTTCCTTTCTTAGTTTGGAGTCCCCAGTACAGTCCAAGTTTCCTGAGCAGGAGAAATTCATCCTGCAGAAGCAAGCCTAGGAGACCCAAAGGAGGGGAAATTAAGCCAGACGAGGGTGACTACATTCAGTCATCAGTCATGCAGACACAGAGACCTGTGTCTGTAGCATCTGTGCATGCATGTGTTGGCATGATGTGGAGTGTGTGCTTGCATGTGCGCCGCTCTGTGTCATCTGTGTGTCTCTCCGAGAGGGAGGGAAAGAGCGAAGCCCGCACAGACAGAATGTTTGGGTATTTAGGTAATTCATGCAGAGCATGTTCAATGCTGCAAGGCAGACAGCCACCCATCCCTGGACTCTGCGGCTCTGGAGGGCCTGTACAGACCTGATCTGAATGTTAAATGCAGGAGATGAAATTAGCATACTAACCAAGGATGTCAACCCCTCCTTGCGATCAGTAAATGGCCGTCTCCTCTCCTACAGCCGGCACAGCCATGCGCGCCAGCCACTTAACTGCGTCCTCTGCCAGATCCTTTTTTGTGTTTGTTTTTTTGTTTTTGTTTTTTGATGAAAGACTGGAAATTCATTAATGAGGAGGGAAGGAAGGGTTTCAAGGGCTGTAATGAAAACAAATGATCCTCTTTAAGCCTCATGACGGCCAAAACGGGAGGGGTGGGGGCAGACTGCTTTCTGCTTTGAGACCGGAGAATAGGAAATTCCACAGACAACAGACCACTTGACAAGAGCCAAAGAATGCACTGCTTGGGAATATTTCTTCTCTGTGGCACAGGCCGGCCGTGACCAGTAGGTCTGTATCAATAAACCTGGAATGAGCTTTATTTTCCTAACTCCAAAAGAGAAGTGTGGTCTACCAGATGTCTTGCCACTCAGGCACAGGTTATCAGTTTCTTGACCCTGTAAGGGTAGGAAGAGCATTCTGGAATCTTTGGGTAAACTGCCTCTGCCTTTGAAGTAATTAAAAAAAATCTGTCTTTTTGGGCTATGCATCAGGTCTTCTGCAAAGGCAATAGCTTCATTTGTTTTGATCTCTATCACACGAGGAAGCACACAGTGGAAACTATCTGACTTCCACTCCTGTAGCGTCCCTTACTGGGGTGGGCAGAATGATGTCTTGGAGCTGAGAGCCAAGCACTGTACATGAAGTATTTGGGCTGGTGAAATTTTTCTTGCTTTTTCTTTATTTTAACCACTCTATACTCAGAAACACACTGCTTCCCTTCCATTGTGCTTTACTGGTTTGGTTTCAAATTAGGGTTGGGTCCTTGGAAATCTCTAGGAACTGTGGGAACCAGCTTGAGGAGTCTGTAGAGGAGGAGTGGGGGTCTTGAGAACAGAGCCCCTCAGCTCTGGTCACCTGGGGTTTTGGGAATAGGCTCCCTATCTTGTGTTTTCTGAGCTTCCAACATTTTAATAGGTGGTAGAGAGTGGTGTGTTTAAATATAAAGCATCAACTTAAAAAAATCTATGGGTTAAATAAAACAAATTTGCAAAGACAGTCTTGACCTGCAAAATGCCAGTTTGCAATATCTGTTTTTAGTCTAAATTATCTAGTACAGGTGTTTTAATTAAAAATAGAGATGCTAGCAACAACATGGAAACATCATGAAAGTATACATTTTATTGGGCTAGGAGGGAAGTATTAATTTAAAATAATAAAAAGGAGGAACATAGATATCTATATAACTTGTTTACTCTGTGATACTGCCATGTCAGCAGATATGGTGTCACATCATCTTTTCTCTAAGATAGTGACCTTACAAAGATTTTTTGCCAAAGGGTTATAATAGGGAAGAGTAAATATCTAGAAAATAATGTTTGTCCAGTTTTCATGCATATTTCTGTCATTGTAAAAGTGATTAGCAACTGGAGCTATTTTAAGTTTTTTTTTACTGTCTTTTCTGCATCCACAGAACTCTCCCTCTTGAGCGGATAAAGGGAAAGATAGGAGTCCCCGGAAGAGATCCTGCCTGCAGTTTGGAAGAAAGGCTTTCCGTGGTGCCTGAAATAACTTCAACAGAAAATGGCACTTCAGCCAGTGGCAGGGGCAGCTAGAAGGCCCCTCTTCTCACCCAGCAACGTCTCACAGCCGTACGAGCTTTCAAATTTCCAAGGTGCTCTTCACACGTATTATGCTGTTTAATTCTCACTATAGCCAGCGATACGGGGGATACAGACAGTATTTGCCTTACTTTACAGATGAGAATACTCAGGCTCTGAGAGAGGCCCTGCCTCAGGTGAAAAGCTAGTGAGAGGAAGTCATAGGTGGTCTGGATCTTAATCTGATGCCATGTTATTATTCTCCCTAGGTCCTTACCAGAGAGATCCTTTTTAGAAGTCCTCACCCAAAGCCTCCTTGAGTCTTGAGTCTCTTTCATACCCCTCACTTCCTCACGAGGAGTTTCCCATCATGTGACCTTTTCCATTTGTAGCTTGTACCATTTGAACATGCTCCTTGTGTCCTGGCAGCAGCTGAGCTTGTTCCCCCCAGCAGTGCAGAGGTAACTCTTCCCACCTTTCCATCCTCCTCCACTTGCTTCTCCTCTCTGCTCCTCTGAAGCTCAAACTTACTCATATGCTGCCTACATTTACTTCTTCATTCCTCATTGTATCTCTGCTCCAGGCAATCTGCTTTCTTTCCTGCTTCCCCTCTAAAAACTCCACAAGGCATGGCGTACTCCATTAAACTGGGCTTCCCTTCCCTGATGCATCATTGTGTTTTGTTGATCTCATCCTCCTTCATAAAACTCATCTTGGCTTTACCTGACACTATTGCATTCTCTATCCATTTCTGGCTACTTGTATTCAGGCTTCATCTCAGACCGCTCTTCCTCTCTTAATCCCTCAAATGTTAGTGTTCCTGCACAGGATTTCTGTGGCTGTCTTCTCTTCTCAATTGTACACACTTTGCTTTGTGTAACACAAGCCATTGGCGTCCATGGTCATCAAAACATGTATTATCAAGTCATCAAGTCATCACCTCTAGCCCAAACCACTCTCCTGAACTCAACCCAGGAGTTTGTACTGGCTGGTGATGAGTTAGATGCTGCTGGAAGCTGGAGTAAGTCAAATTGCCAGGCCTCCAGAGCCTAGGATTTAAAGGTGACTCAGCAAAATTATAGATGATTCCCATTAGGTTCTGTATCTAGATACAGAGGATTATACATGATTTGTGTTCTTTCTTCTCCTCCCTTGGTTTATTTTCCTGGTGGCTTTTCCAAAAGCTTACTGGTTATCTTCATTCTCAGAGGTGCCTGGCCTGGGATGCATTCACTGTACTACTTTAACTGATCTAGATATGATGGCCTGCCCTGCTGGCCCCTGTTAGATCCTTCAGAGGAGTCCACTTTCCTGCTTGGCCTTCCAGGATACTTGCAGTTGCTCTTGCCGCTCTCTAGTCTTCCTTCTCGTAACTTGCACTTTCCACTCTATGCTCTGCATCACAGATGTCTTGGAACTCATCCATATCTGTAGGAAACCTTTTAGAGCATTCAGTGATAGCAAACAGCCCGCTGACGCACCCATTCCATAGGTTTGCCACCAGTGCTCTAAGGTTTCATACCATGGTCCCAACTTGAAGGCTGTTCAACTCTACTTCCTTCATTTGTTTTTTTCCACACAGGTCTTACGATGTAGTCCAGACCAGACTTGAACTTGCTGTGCAGCCCAGGCAGGTCCTGACCTTGCAGTTCTCATGCCTCAGCCTTCCAAATGATGGGATTGTAGGTGTGAGCCATCATGCCTGGTTTACTTACATCATTCTGGGAATTCCTCTCCACCTTCAGCATTCTGTTCAAGCAAAAAGCACACCCTCTTCCCAGCCTCCACTCTGTATTCTGTGTGGCCACAAACCTTCTCCCCTTTCCTTTCCTCACAGTTTTTATCCCTCTTTTACAATGACCAAATTTTCCCATTTGAACTTGAGATGCTCAGAGGGAGAGTGCCTTTTATACCTGTGTTCCTGGTATCCAGCAAAGTCCTGACATGAATTGGGTCCTTAATAAATTAACATTACTATTTTTATACTATCATAAATAATGTTTTTTCAGGTGTAAGATCACAAGGTCTCCAAAATAATCAAGCTGAGGGAAATATAGCAACCATTTCCCATAGAGAACAAGGGATTTCCTATGGTGCAATTCTCACCTACATCAGTTTTTGACTTCTGTCAGGAGAGAGACAAGCACTAGGGTGGTCTTTAGGTGTTTGCTGATGCGGTAGAAACTTTAGAGTTAATTAGCAGCTCTGGCTAAAGCTGAACTTCCTTTGTGGAATTTCTGGGAGGAAACACAAAATTAACAGTTCAAGGTTGTTATTAGAAAAGTGGCCTGTTTCCCTTAAGCTATGCCATAGGGAGCTTGTTCTCCTCTCTGCCAATTCTAAGGTGTTTTCCTTTTGATCTGGGCACACTTGTTACCTTAAGGTGGGTCATTTCAATAAAGGTGGACACTCTTGAGATCAAGGAGATCTTCTCCGACCATCTCCCAGCAGGAGGAGACCTTGGAAGCTCCATGATTACCCAGTGGAACTAAATATAGGGAAAATCTGCCCATGACAGCACAGGGATGAGGATGGTTTTGTAAGTTCTCATCTTTCATGCAGAAAATGGCCTGAGGTCAGCAGTGCCAGACCTCCCTGGAAGTCCCAAGAAATGTCTCAAGGCATTATTAGGAATTGTTATATTTGGAAGTACATTGGTTTTCATTGTCGCAGTAGTTATGCTTCATAAAGTCACTACGGACACCAAATTAGTGAACACTGAGCCACTGGTCCTAGAAGAAATAGGGCCATAGGTTCCTGCAAGCCTCTTACCATTTTCCTCAACTGATCAATACACAGCCTTGTTTTATATGTGTTCTTGTTTAAAGACTCCTTATTAAGTATATTGTTATTTCCTTAACATCGAACTCGTGGCCAACAGCACTATAACTCAACCCTGAAGAAAGGCCCATCAGAGCAGTCTTGTACTTAGAAACACAAGAAAGTGTTTTGCTGCTGTGGAATATTAAGTGATAACTTCACCAACCCAAAGCACACAATATGAAAACTGTGGCACTGTGGAAGGAACACTTACTTATAGCATGAGAAATCAAACAAGAAGCGAGAATCGCCTTATTCAACCTCAGCTGGGAACGTGCATGTCAGGCACTCAAACTCTTCTCTACACAGGTGTTGGTGAATAGCCACAAAAGTGTCACAAGTACTGATTTGGAGTTACAACTGAATTTCATGAGTAGACTATTTCACAATTATGGAATATGCGAGTGATGAGGATTGAGTGTACTACCTGTATTATTTTCAAACACAGAATATGATGGCCATGCTCATGGAATGATTCTGAACTGGAACATTCTCTAATTTGTAAAAAAAATCTACTTTCTTAGAACTTGCCACATATATAACTGCCACTCATTTGAAGTTATCTATTGGGTAGTAATAGCACTTTTTTTTTCTCAAAGAAATAAAACTGTTTTGCTTCCATGAGAGCATCACCCAAAGGCTGAGTGATGAGGTAGATACTGCTGCAAGCCAGAAGAAGCCCTTGGGACACAAAGGTGACCTCAGCAAAATTATAGATGACTCACATTAGGTGTGTGTGTCTGGGTACGGAGGATTATATATGATTGTCTTACAAAGTCACTCTTTTAAGCCAAATCTTGCCCTCTTTGAGTCATTTCTTCACTTACCTTTCATGTTGTGAGCAGCTGCTAAGTAATGCATATGTGCTTTTTAAAAATTATTGACTCTCATCTTGTTGCAAAGGCTGGATGCGGAACTATAAAACAAGACACTGACCTCTCATACAAGCCAAAGGCACAGTGCCACATGGATTTTAAAAAACAGAAAAGGGGGCAAATTGGGAAAGGAGAGTGAGCAGGGAGGGGACACATGCAAAGATTTGGATACTGAGGATTATAAGAGGAGGTTCCAAAGCTTCTTATTTTGTTTTTGTTGGAGTACGTTTGGTTCTGTCCTGTTTGGAATGAAGTCTCTGCTCTGTTATTTATTAGTGCTATGATCCTAACAAAGTCAGTTAACTTCTCTGAGAACTTTCCCCTCCTCTGTGAAATGAGACCAATATATCAAGTTCTTGGAAAGACTGTGATGACTGAATGACATAGTGAATTCAGATGCTGAGATAATGCATGTCTAAGTCCAGCAGAAAATTCTATGGAAGCAGCAGTTGGTAATTGTTGCCTGTGTTAGAATTTTTCCAATTCCTAAGCAGCTATCTGATTTCTGAGTCATGCACATTTATGAAAACATGGAAGATTTGGGGTGAAGAGAGAAGAGACTGCAGGGTTAACTTTCTCCTTATGTTGGGGAAAAAATAAACTGCATAGGATCCAGGCAGTGTGACATCATGTAAGTTAGGGCAGGAGCAAAAGGGGAGCCCAGCTCCCTGTGGCCAGTTCATAACTATAAAACTGCTGTGCAATTAGAATTCCCTTTCAGATCCTCTGTCCACAACTATTAACTGCCCGTTAATTGCACGCCCACCTCAACAGCCAGGTGACCTCTGCTCAGTGGGTCACTATCACATTGGCAGGAAGACTTGGTGCTAATTGCATCTGCCAAGTAGAACTTTTAAGAGCAGGATCCACTGAGCACAGCATCTTCATACCTCTTGACTGTACATATAAATAGCTATGGGCAGATAATATTCATACCATATAAATGTTGGACAAATCCAGAAGGATCATGGAAGCCACAGAAAAATGCCTATTTAATTTTTGAGGGGCTAGTTATTGAACCCAAGACCTTTGTAATAAGTTATATTATCAGTCTTTAAAAAACGTCTTTTAAATTGTGAGACAGGATCTTATTAAATTGCTGAGTTGCCGGGGCTGGACTCAAAGTTGCAGTCCTTCTGCCTCAGTCCCCTAGAGTGCTGGGACCATTGGGGTGTGCTACTGTGCTTGCTAGGAATGCTCTTTTTTATTTTTTAAAAAGGGATCAACTATTTCTGCAGTTCTCTGTAGCTATTTACAAGATGCTGTCTTGGAAAAGCCCAAAGGAAAATGCTGCTGGCTATATAACATCCTTCCCAGAGCTTACGAGCTGTCATACAATAAAGGGACCAGAGGATTGTGCCGCACAAACTGAGGTGAGGCTGGTTAACTTCCACCAAGCTTCTATAGAGTGCAGTACAGGCTTAAAGTGGGCTGTTCCAAGATGCCAGTGCTGTTGTTTTCAGTTATGAGTTTGGGGTGATGGATGAGAAAGGCAGTCCTGGGGGAACCTTTTTAAGAAACAGGTGGTGCCATGGGATGATGGATCATGTGGACTTCAGGCAAGAAGTTGTATCCATAAAGACGGGTGCTAGCAAGTCAAGTAAGATGTTCATAGCAGGCTGAAGCACGGGTCAGAGTCTGGGCAGAGGTCAAACGAGAGAGTAGTCTGTGCTATGGACTGTAACAAAGAGAGCTGAGTGCTGGGGAAGCACCAAAATTGGGAGTAAGCCCATGGCTCAGGTGGGGCCCATTTCTGCTCAGTTGGGTTAGGTTATAAGAGCAGGGATAAAGCCGTGGAAATGGCTTTCAGGCCTGGTGGGATAGGTAGACCTTTGTCTATCTTATCAGACAGAAAAATCTTGGCTACAAATAGCTCATGCATGAGCAATTAATCTTATTTCTCAGTGGGTACTAGATAGTTTAGGAGGTGCTAGTCAAATCCTGTTTCTCTGGGGCTGTGTCTTCCCCCCACACTGTTGTTTTCATCCAACTCATAGTGAGATTGATGATCCACATAAGCTAATGGGATTCAGCTAAACCCACTAACCTCATAGTCACAATTTACACTGAACATATGTGGAATGCTCTTCTTGGTAGATGGAATGAACATTCCCGTGTAACACTAACTGCTAAATTGTGAATATCTTTCATTATGGTTTTGCTTCAATTGTGTCATTATCCTATAGGTACAGAAAAATATCCTAAGAAATGCACACAAGCAACTAACTTTTTTTGTAGTTTGTTTAATGCTTAATTAATTTGGGTTTGTACTCAGCAGTTATATCACTTATTTGGAGATCATGATGATGATGATAAAAGCCCTCTAAAAAACTAGCAAAGTGGTCACTGATGTGACATCACTGAAGTTCAGAGACAGCAGAGAATGCCCCACACATGCACTCCCAGTTGGATCCAGGCTCATTATAACCATAAGCTTTAAATTGTTCGCTGGTGGCCAGAAGCTGTTGCAAGGTAATTGCCCCATTCTAGGCTTCCTTCCCTTGAAAGCAAGAGTTGTGAAAGCAGGATTTGGGCTCTTTGATCTCTATTTGTCTGGGATACTCCGGAGGTTACACTGTGCTTGCAAATGGTAACATGGCTCCAGTAGAAGGTACTTTGGGATCTACAATTCTTCTTGGTCACTAGAGACTCCCCTTTGTCAGTTGCTGCTTATTAGAGGCTCCACAAGAATATCTGAATTGAGAAACGGAGGACAAGCATGGAAGAGACCCAAAGAATTCTGGGAAACATTGTCTACAACAACACTGTCACAAGAGCAGAGCCTGAGAATGTAATAGCAGCATCTTCAAGGATTTCCATGCCATGGGGAAGATCTGCTGGGAGTATTTTTGTGTACTGTTGGCAAATGATGGGATATTCTAAATCAAAATCACAAGAGAAGGTTTGTCATACAGGCTGATGCAAGGAGAGTAACACAGAAATAAAAGTGATCCCCCGAAAGCAAGTATCCTAAACACCAGGTGCTCCTGGCAGTGACTGATGATTGCTGGTGCTGGGTTCTTCCTCATGACCAGGATCTTGGACCAATGGGGCTTGGCCAATGATGATGGGACTTGGTCACAGAACTGAGAAGTCTGTATTTGCAGGTGTTACCTCCCCATTCAGATTTGGAGCTGTGGGCACAGGGCTTATGGGTAAATGTCTAGAAATGCAGACTCCAGAGTGGCTGCATCCCTAAGCAGCTGGTCACTGACATTCATGGAGCCCTGAGGAGCTGACTGGGCTGGGCTTTGAAGGCAACTTAATTCTGCTTCTTTGGAAAGGAGTCTTTCCTAGTTGTATGGATCTCATAGTGACTCTCTTACTGTTAGTGACATTTGTTTATTTAAAACCAGCGAGAGTCCTGACATATTTTCCTCCTAAATGCTTTTATCTTGATATAAGTCTATTTTTAGATGTGTGATGTTCTTAAAATAAATAATAATTTGAAGTCTACTTTTATACTTTGAAAACTGCAACTGACTTCAATTTCTAGATAATTAAATTTTACACATACTAGTAGTTCTAAAATGGTTCCTTTGTTCTTTTATTTTCTAAGCCCTTTTTGTTAGTATATGTTTGCTATACATAATGATTTTATTCATCATAGGGTGTAGGTACTTTGGTGGAGAAACTAAAGGTTTAGAAGTTTCATAGTATATTTAGTGTCTTTAGAGGTGAAGGTAAATACCTTTATAGTACTTGATAAATATGTATATTTCCTTTGGGTTTTTTAGGCAAGTGTCAGTTGTGTGTGTATGTATGTACATGTAATATGTCTATACACATGTGTGCATATGCCTGTATATATGTATATTTGTGTGCATGTATGTATAGTGTGTATATTTTCTGTGCATATATATACAAATATATATTTGTATACATTATATATATCATGTATATATTATATTTCTATATACGTGCATATGTATTGTGTATGAATGCATGTATAGTGCATATATGTGTATTTATGTATATGCGCCTGTGTGTATATGTGTATATTGTACGTGTATATATAATGTGTCTCTGCACATGTGCCTGGAGTGTGTGCATATGTGTGTTGTGGATCAAGGAGGCTGTAAGAGATGTCTTTACTACATGCTGTGTATACACTACGATGTGCTGTCTTCTTTTCTGTATCACATGAATGAGGTCAAAGAAGGTGTATTTCTTTATGTAGTATTAAGTTTTGTAAAAGTTAAAAATCATGCTTTTATTCCAAAAGGCTGTGTAGGATGGTGCTTTAAAAATAATTCTAGTCGTTTAAATTTAAGACCCTGGAAAGAAGTCCAATGCATGGTCCAAATCTATGCTCTGGCCCAGAGCCCCAAGCATTTTCATTACATCAAGAATTTGATACAATTTCATTCATTTTAAGCACTTGTTTCTCAGTATTTTGTTCTTCAAAGACAAGCTAACAAGTGTCGATGGCCACGTTGGCTCCAATAATGAGTTTCCACTCCCTAAATGATCTATTTCAGGTACATTATTGCCATTTAAAGATGGACTTGGGCTTGCAGTCACATTTTCAGTGAATGCACGAGGAATGCAGAGATTTTCCTACATGCATTTCTCTCTGCAGTTATTGACTTGTTCAGAGAAAAAAACTTTAACTAATTTTCTTTGGAGCCATTTGCAAAGAGAGGCTATGTAAAGAATTGTCTTTGTACTTTTCTCTTGCTCTCTTCATGGAGATGCTGCCCAACTATGTTAAGATTTATTTAGATTTAATTAAAATTCTTTTATGGCCTTTTAAATAAATGGTACTAATATATAAAAAAGAAAGATGATTCAATCAGAAAAATGGGCAAAAAACTTGAACAGGCATGTTAGTAAAAAAAACCTAAATGGCCAATAATTAGTGCTCAAATTCAAGCATAATGAGAAATCACTTCCATAACCAACAACTTGGCAAATATTACAATTTGACAGTAGCAAGTGTTGGCATGGATGGAACAGAATATTGGAATTTCATACACTGCTGATGCGAGCTGGCTTGTACTGCAGTGTTATCTGTGCTTGCTTTTAATAAGACAATCCTACTTTTTCCACAAGCCTGTGGGATGAATACACTGACAGTCACATTCCCTTTCACATGTAGTATCATTCTTTCCTCAGCAGTGATGACCAACTGAGTACTGATGAACAGGAAAATCATACGTAGCTACATATCATGTATGATGTACGGGCATAATACTTGTATACAGTAGGTGCTCAATAGATGTTACATTGACACAAGCATATCTTTCACATCATAAAACATTTCTGAAATAAAATAGTGCAGTTTTTTACTTCTAGCTGTCCATGTTTTGGGTACATGTGTTTATTTTTCACGTAAAATTTATATGACACAAAATTCCACTTTATTTTAAATGTACAATTTGATATTGATTAAATTAAATGTCATCTAGATGTCCAGTTTTAACTCTTATTTTAATGTTTTTGTTGGAATCAATTTTTTAATTCCAAATTTTGTTTCCTTTTCTATGTCCATTTTTAATCTCTTCCTCCTCTCTATATTTTACCTTTTACTATCTTTGACAGATCTTTGGTGTCATTTATAATCTGAGTTGCATATAATATCACATGTGCATGGGGGGGCCATTTCCGAGTCAACAAGACTTTCTTTCCTTCATTTTGGCTCTCTTTAATCCACTAGTAGAAACTACTGTGCTTAATTGTAGACAGCTAAAGGTTTTTAAAAAGTCTTTTTATACTAGGAAATTAGAGACTCTTGGCTTCAGAATCCTCTGGGATCTCTCATAGGCCATCTAACGTACCAAAAATTATTGGCCTGAAGTCTTAGTGGAAGTACTCAGGATATTAATTCACTAGTTGTGTAGAATTCCCAAGTTAGTCTCTCCTGCCAAAGAGTGAATCACAAAGATGTGGATATGTCATGCTGCAAGTGTGAAAAAGCAGTGTTGATGATGGTGATAACCACGGCCAGCATGGCGCACTTAGACACCCTGCTTGTCTCCACATGTGTTACGCCTAGTACCTCATTTAGTCGACATAATGGCATACATACAGTTAGTCTCTAAAATTAGACAAACAAACTAAGGTTCGGAGAAGGAAATTATGTGTCTAAGCCTCTGACATTGGAATCCAGGCGGGGTAATCTCAGACCCTCACTCGTAGTTGTTACACCATGACCTGTGTTTAAGAATAGAACTCAGCAGGATGTTGTACTTCTGCGTCCTTCTGAGGAGATGATTATCTCAAGTGAAAACAGATAGGAGCAGGTCAGTAGCAAGAGGGAAACACACCTAAACCCTCATCTTTATTTGAGGGTCAGTGACGGATAGAGTAGGGACAGGGCTAGGAAAATTAGCCCGTTGGTAATAAATGCTAACAGAAAACATTTAGGAAAAAATGTCCATTTAGCTTGGAGATTATTTTTAGCTGCTGGGCAGGAAGGAGTTGAATATACAATGTAGATCCATCAAAAGTTTTCAACATAAAATGGATGTTACTGAATGCTTATGCTTTTAGGTTAAGTAAAACTGCCACCACCGAGTATGATGTCTGGAAGGAGTCTAATGGAGAAGTGTCTAAAGGAAGCCATAGGTCAGGTGGTGAGGGCTGGGGCTGGGGTAGTGGCCCTGGCAACAGAAACTGGGAGAGATGCTGGAGAGGAGAAGGATGACCAGGACAATGGATACGGCATTCACACTGGCTGCAAGATGCCAGCCTCAATGACAGGCTGAGGAGTCTCATTAAGACAAGCAGAAATACTAGGTGGAGAAGACACTATGGAAGGGGTGAAGCCCAGAAGATGACTCTCTGGTAAAGTGCACTAGGGCATTGTCTGGGAATTTAAAGGGGAAATCAAAGTTGGGATGAAGATGTC